TACCTCTCCATTCACCCTCACCCTCACCCTAAGCCACTTTTCCCACTTCAACTAACACTAACCCTAACCCTACCTGTGGGAAGGCTGCCCATTGTCTTCACTAGCAAGAAGTGCAAACAAGGATCCTGGAAGGCTGGTGACCCGTGAACCCACGGGAGGGCCCGAGTTATGCACCAATTGTCTAGTCCTGACAATGGGGGCTCAAACTATTTCCTGATTGAATAGTCTCAGAGTAAATCCTTCTAATATTTACTGACCTTTAAGATAGTCTGTCTGCTACCGCAATTACCTGCCTGACTAAGGGCTTTATGTGTAACCAAAGTTGAATAAAAGGCTGGAGAAGCCTGGGTACTGGTGGAGGTCCTTCCCCTTGAGTTGGACTTGCCCACCTGGCCCCCCAGTATTTCCAAATTATCTCGTCTCTTCTCTTTCATTTGTGTGCGGCTCCTCTTCCAGATCCTGAACTCTAAACCACACGGGACGTGGGGGAACACACATACAACACTAACCCTCACCCTAACCTTATGCCCTAACCCTAGTCATAGCCCTAACCCCTAACCCTAAATCCCTAACACTAACCCTAAAACCTGAACCTGACTCTAAAATCAAACCCGAACACTTGACCTCTGACCCTTGACCTTTAAGCTCTGACCCTTGAAATTTCAGCGCTGATCTTTGACCTTCAACCTCTGACCATTGATGTTTGACCTTTTGAACCTTGACCTTTGGACTCTGAACCTTGATCTCTGACTCTTGACCCTAACCAATGACTCATCCCTAACCCTAGCCCTATTCGTAGCTCTAACCCCAACCCTGACTCCTAATTCTAACTCTAACCCTAAAACCCTAACCCTGAAACCCAAACTCTTGACCCCTGACCTCTAACCCATGACCCATCCCTAACCCTAACCCTAGCCACAGCCCTAACCCTAAAACCCAAACCGTACCCAAACACTTGTCCTCTTATAGACCCTTGACCTTTAAGCTCTGACCTTTGACCTTTGAACTCTGATATTAGACCTCTGACCTCTGGCCCAGAACCCACTACCTGGACCCTCTGCCTCCTTGATCTCCATTGCAACCAGGCAGCGGCCGGGGGAGCGGCTTGTGAGCTGGCTGAGTGGAGGGGGAGGAGGGCTGGGGGTAGGGACCTCTGCTCCCCTCTCTGAGCCTCAGTTTTGGCGTCTGGAATATGGGGATGACAACCCAATTGTCAGCTCCTGTCAACCCAGGTGCCCCAGGAAGCCGAGACCCAGGCTGGACTCATGAGGGAATGACATAAATGGAGGAAGGCAAACTACTGGATATAGAGTTCAAAACCACAGTTATAAGGCTTTTCAAGAATTTTCTAGAAACTGCCGATAAATTTAGTGAGACCCAGGAGGATATGAAAAAAGACCAACTAGAAATTAAGCATACACTGACTGAAATAAAGAATAATATACAGAGATCCAAGAGCTACCCTCCTGCTGGGGAGGGGGCGGCTCAGCAAGGCAGCGGGGAGTCCCTGAGCCCCGTGGCTGCGCTTCCCACCCAGCAGCCTGCCTGCTGTGCCCACTGCACCGTCGCTGCCGAGGAGCCTGGGGGAGCGGGAAGCAGAGCCGAGACACAGACACAGGGATGGGTCTCCCTGTGAGCCCTGCAGAGAGAGGTCTAGGGGGTCCCCTCTGCGGGGCATAGGGCTCAGCTGTTCCCAGAACCCGGTCAAAGCCCCAAAAGGAGGGGCAAGGAGGGCACTATTTCCTGGGGCTGCTGCTCCCATGACAACAAACTGGCCTAAACCAACAGGAACATGTGCTCTCCCTGTTCTGGGGCCAGAATCTGAAATCAGGGGGTCTGGGGCTGTGCTCCCTCGGAGGGCTTCAGGGGAGGATTCTTCCTGCCTCTTCAGCTTCTGGGGGCTCCTGTCCACATCCCTTCAATCTTCACGTGGCCCCGCCCCCTTGTTCACGTGCCCACTCTTATATGGCCCTGCCCCCTTGAGACCTCGATTGGTTTCTTCTCCATTGCAACCAGGCAGCGGCCGGGGGAGCGGCTTGTGAGCTGGCTGAGTGGAGGGGGAGGAGGGCTGGGGGTAGGGACCTCTGCTCCCCTCTCTGAGCCTCCAGTTTTGGCATTTAGAGACTATGGGCACCCAGGTGCTCCAGGAGGCGGAGGCCCAGGCTGGACTTATTAGGGGTAAGGCCTGGGAGTACGGGTGGGGCTGGGTGCTTGGCAAGGTGGCGAGGAGTCCCTGAGCCATGTAACCTGCACTGCCCACCGAGGAGCCTGCCCCGGTGCGACCATTGCATTGTCCCTGACTGGCTGTCTGCCCTGCTCTCACACCTGTCAACAGTCCCTTTGCCAAAGTCCTTCCAGAAAATAATTTGCACGTGTCATCTCTCTCCTGCTGGGCCTGTGACAGCTGGGATTGAAAGGAGACAGGAGAGCAGTGGCTCCTCCAGAGAAAAAAGCAAGAGTCCCAGAGGGGCCCATGCCATCCCTGGAAGCTGGGGGAGGGAAGGGTGGTGAGGCAGGGGTGCTGACTGGGAAGTGGAAAGCCCCCAGGGCAAGTGGGATACACACACAATCACCCCACACTCCTGTGAGGAGCAGCTGTGGACCACTGTACAGGTGAAGCTACTGCAGCAAAGAGGGTGAGCGACTACCTTGAGGGCACACAGCAGTCAAAGGGCGGAGCCTGTGACCTCTCCTTTACCTGTGACGTCTGGGAAAGCAGCCCCTCACCCTGTGGCTATTTGCTCTGATGAGCTTCACTCTTCCCCCACCCTCCCTCCTCCACCCCCAGTGGACAGGGGTCCTGTCACTGCACCAGTGCCTCTGAGGTCCCTCCCAGCTGCTAACCTGAGTCCAGCTGCCTTTGGGCGAGGGCCTTGTGTGGAGAACACCCCACCTCCCCTAGCATTCTGTGGCTTAAATCACAAAGTACCATCATTTTTTCTGTGCCTGGCTATCGCCACCTGCCTCCCCTGGCAGATTGTTTTACCTCGAAAAGAAATTGATTCAGGGTCTGAAAACCGGCTGACTTCCTGTATTCGCTCTGAGACGTGGCTCTGCCCTGGTGCCTCCTGGTCCACATCCCTGATGCCACCCCACCTCTGTGGCAGCTTCTCTCATCCCTGGAGCCCCATTCAGCTCACAACACCCTCAGCGCTCCCCTGCAGCTCCAGGGAGATGCTGAGTCATTAGTCCCCCAGGGTCCTCCAATCAGCCTGGGCAGGGCCAGTGGGTTGATCCCTTTGACAGAGGGGTGCAGACACCAGGTGGGCACTCTGCCCACCCCCAAATGCCATGAGCATCGAGTCTGTGCTGCCAACCAGCTCCTGGAGGGCTTGGCCTGCACAGTGAGCCCACTCATCTGCAGAGTGGCAGGCAGAACAGGCTTCCCAGGGCATCTGGTTGGCCAGCTGGCCCCAAAGCCATCCTTCAGCCTCCCACTCACCCCTGCTGAAGGGAAACCAGGCTTGGTTTCCACCCAGCCCAGCTGCCTACCTGGGGTCTCTTGGGAGCTGGCAGAGGCTGTCGCCCTCTGCTGGTCTGTTCCTGTTACTGCAGATGGCAAAGTCAACCCTGCAGCCCAGTGGAGGAAAAAACCCTGATTGAGTCGTAGAGGGCACCTTGCAGAGGTGATACAATAGCGGCCCCTTGTGGGTATTCTGAGAACAGCACCCTAGTAAGGAATTCTAGCAGCCTGAAAAGAAAACCCAAGTGTCAGTCCTATTTTTGTTGTTGTTCATCCTCGCCTGAGGCTATTTTCCCATTGATTTTGGAGACAGAAAGACACATCAGTTGGTTGCCTCCTGCACTAGCCCAACCAAAGTCCGTGCCCCTGAGCGGAACTGAACCCAGGACTTTTAGTCTGAGGGCCAACGCTCTATCCACTGAGCAACACCAGCTAGTAATGAATTCCCGGAGTCTGAAAACGAAAACACAAATGACAATCTCACACAGTAAAGTAGAGCAGGGCCCAGCGAGCCACGGGTGCCTTTTGTGGCTCTGAGCTTCAGAGCCAGGGGCCCATCCGGAGGGCAGGAAACCCAGGACCCTGTGGGAGGGCACAGGAGCCCCCTCAAGCTGGGAGACAGACACCAGCCCCCCCCCCCCCCCCCCCATTTAAGGGGTGAGCGTGACTGAAACCAATCATCAGAGTAGGCTGTCCCTGCCGGAGGCAGGTTCATCCTTGTTGCTTGACACAGTTGCTACAGGGAAGAAACATCTGCACAGCATATGTTTCAAGGGACCTGGCGTACTGTTCTTAATATGTTTGCTCCCCTTCCTAGCACT